AATGTAAAAGTTGATTTGTTGATTTCAATCTGCATCATATTGAAGGCAAAAGACCTGTTGAAGGTACACTTTCGCAACGCTAAACTCAAAATCGCAATGCGAAAGTCAAAATTGCAATGCGAAAGCCAAAATCGCAACGCGAAAGTTAATTCGCGTTGCGATAGTCTAATACGCTTTGCGATTTTCTCATTGCGATAGTCAAATTCCCGTTGCGATAATCAAATTCTCGTTGCGATAGTCAATTCGCGTTGCGATAGTCAAATTCGCGTTGCGATAGTCATATTCGCGTTGTGATAGTCAAATTCGCGTTGCGATTTTTGAGTTGCGATAGTCAAATTCCCGTTGCGATATTCAAATGAATGTGTAATAAGTGATAACAACTGAACAGATCATAGCAATGTTCAAACTCAAGTTACTAATATGCCTAACTGAAAATGTTAAAAGTTTCACATAAATACACATAATAGTCAAATTCGCGTTGCGATATTCAAATGAATGTGTAATAAGTGATAACAACTGAACAGATTATAGCAATGTTCAAACTCAAGTTACTAATACATGCCTAACTGAAAATGTTAAAAGTTTACACATAAAATACACAATACAACGTTTGCATTTAAAAATCACCTAAGTTATAGTCCCAAAAGGTGAAGCCAGTTGTGATTTGGATTTTGATTTGATTGTCTTTTTCTTGACACCATATGAGCTTTGGATTTTGATGAGTATCCATTTTTGTAAAGAAAAGATGATTGTGATGGCACTGGTGATCCACATGTCAACCTTGTATGACCACTTTCCTTACACCGACTACATGTCAATCTCTTCTTCTCTTCACCCTTAGACGGTATACGATCGTGACTTTTTGGTCGGCCAGGTAGCCTTCTGTCCATGGCTGGTAGCAAAACTGTTTTTAAGTCATCTGATATGTCCCACTCAGAAGGATGTGTAATAGGGTAGATAATCTCGGCATAAGTCTATCGATATACTTCTGTAGTGTAGTAATCCATAGCGTATGCGCTTGAATCATCTTGGTTTAGATGAAGAGCAACTTTTATAACATGGCCACACGGATAACCAGATGTTTGCCATTTCATACAACTACACGTCTTTGCATTTAGATCGACAAGCCCATTTAAGTTATTATCCAGTACTTCAAACAAAGTGTTTGAACATGGTTCAACTCTCCATGACGTTGACTTCACAACACGTTTCGTTATCTTTTTTCAGTCCATGGTGTAACACGATGTTCCAATGTTCCTGTAATTTAAATAAATAATACTTAGTAAAATATATGATAAGTTACGAATTTAAAGAATAATACCTGCATGGTTTCTTTTCTTGTAGTACCACTATTAATAGAGGCTCGAAAAAACTCCATTAACATAGTAATGGGTAATTTCTGGGAATGATGACTTAGAGCGTTGATTGATTCTGCACTATTAGACGTCATGAAACCATATCTTGCTCCAAGTTGATGTACTCTTGACCATCTTTCAACCCGACATCTTCTAGTGTTTGAGCACACTGAGGCAAAACACGTCTTAAACAATTTATATACTTATTAAAATCCACTTCCCGATAAGCTTTTGCAGTCTTCCAGTATGTTCATTTGTGATTTTTATACCAGCAGACCTTGATTTTAGATTTCTATACAAATGAACACCACAAAGTCCATGAAAAGCATATGAGAAACACATTCTAATAGCGTTGTCAATTGAGTTTGCCCTATCGGATATGATTGTCAGATTGCTAATAGGACATATGCAATCCCTAAGATGCCCCATAAACCATGTCCATGAATCAGAGGTTTCAGATTTGCCAACCCCGTAAGCTATTAACAGTATCCCATTGTTAACATCCATGGATACTGTTAATAAGTTTACTCTAAGGTATCGACCTTTTAAATTGCTCCGTCAACTATAACTGGGCACATGCAAGTAATAAACGAACGAATCTACAAAATCATATACACAAGAAATATAATCATTTAAATGTGAAATGCATGTAACTAACAAAATGAGTCAATAAAATTATATTGATTTACTAACCGCAGCATCAATGGCGATAACAACAACTCAAAGCGTCAATCTCTATCTGTTTTGATATGAGTTACCGACCCAGGATTTTTCAGCTTTAAATTGTAACAATAAGCCGACAGTTGGGCAAACGATGCTTCTGGCAACCCCCTCAACAATTCCAAGGCATAACATTTGGCTCTCCAAGCTTAAGAATATGAATACTAATCTTGAACCGAGCATTCATGTCAGTCATAATTTCATGTCCCCGATATACCCTTCTATTCAAAAACAGTAACTCAGCCAGAAAACCACCCAAACCTTTTTGTTTGCCTGTCTATGGTGAGGAAAAACTTGGGTTCTTGAACATGTATGTTTATCAATAAAAGTCCTAACTCGAAACATTTCACAATCTTTTATCATCTTTGCAATTATACGCCACGTACGGTTTTTGTCAATCATACACCTTGTTTCAAAACGATCTTTGCTTGATTTGTTAACTTTTAGTTGATAGCCATATTCCACACATTTCGTATACAAAGCTATCTTCAAGTCTTCATTTGTATCAAAACAATCATCTTTCTTGATACGAATAATTTTTGTGTAACAATCAACTGTTATCTTTACCAACTCTTCTTCCGGTATCTGAAGTAATTCTGGCATATTCCAGTTATACTCCCGTGGTATTTCTTCAGGGACTTTTCTTCGAGGATTTCTTATTCTTCTTTTTCTTCTTCATGGTTATATGAATTACAGAATGGATGTTCAACATGTTCATTCACAGTCGTAACTTTCTCCTCATTATCATTAACAACATCTTCCTCGGCATCGGCTGTTTCATCATCAAAATTCGGGTATTGACCAATATCAAAATCATTACACCAGGGTCTGTTCTTCTTCTGAAACATCATCAAAATCCGAGTATTGACCAAGATCAAAGTCCGGGTATTGACCAATATCAAATTTCGAATACTGACTAGTACTCATAATTTTTTCTGTTGGCTCATCATCGTCTAACTGATCAATACGAAAACCGGAATTTGGTGCTGAAAGTTGATTGGTATTTGGATTAAGGAAATGTTGTGGGTTTTGAGATTGTGTTTGGTATTGGAAATGTGGTGAAACAAAATTTGCTTGGTGATGAAATTGTGGTGGAACCATTAAATTTTGAGCACCATAAACTGGGGTTGAAAAACTTAGTTGATTACTACCCGCTACTGACTCAACTTCACTACTTCTAGGTTCAACAACATACAATGTAACATCATCTTGCGAAACACTAATGTAAGCAATGAATCGTTCAACATCTTCATTGTCGGTTAACAAATAACTTTACCTTTTCTCTGATAAGATAGCCTAAATCCACTTAAGGGCTCTAAATTCATTTATTTGCAACACGTAACATTAGAGTTTCATAAGTTAACTTTTTTAATGACAGTTTTAGTTGAAGATTCATGGGTAAAGGCATATATTGTAAAACACCATGAACATTCTCCCATGACCCTCCAAAACACAAATCTATCCAAACATGATCAACATTAGATGATTTCATTATTGTAAATTAATTTACTAAACAAACGAGCTGCGAAACTAAAACATGTTGCCGGATGGGGAAGGATGTCGTTGGATATAGGAACAGATGTCGCTGGAGAGAGTGATAGATGGAGATGGAATGAGTTGCGATTTAGGGATTTAGGTTATGAGTTGCTGCTGTTGATTAGTTATATACCCAAAACATTTGTGTTGTGAAACTAAAACCTGTTGCGAATTTGAAATTCAACGTTGCGACAGTCAGAATCGCGTTGCGATAGTCAGAATCACGTTGCGATTATTTTGATTAAAATACTATAAAATCTTACATTATTAACTTTTTAAGTTAGATATTTTATAAGTTATACTACTGTTTCAAGTTATTCGGATAAATTTGAGTTATTTCAGACTATTTTGTCATCTTATTTGTGGGAATCAAACTCCGCTCTTTTCCATTACTATTATTTTGCATGGAAATAACCTCAAAATCAATGGTGGTTACCAATGGCAATACCATTCATCGTGTGTCGATAAATGAATTGAACGTTCAATGAAAAGTTCGTGAACGTTAAATAATCCATTTATTTATGTTCGTTTATTCATTTTCGTTTTTTTATATTTAGTTCAATCTACAAACCCGTTTAAAACATTAAGACCTAATAAATTTTAACGTAAAACCCACTAATATTTTAGAACCTAATTACTTTTTAACCAAAATAAAAAATACTCAAATCAATTAAAGAAAATATAAGTCCTAAAATTATTTAGAAATAAAAAAACTTTCTCAAATATAAACCCAATTAATTTTATATTTGTTCGATTATGTTCGTTTACGTTCGTTCGTCTGTGTTCGTTTATCATTTTAACGAACAAATATGAATGAACACGAACAAATTACATTCCTTAATGAACGAGCACGAAAAAAAATTCGTTCGTTTAGTTGTTTGTGTTCGTTCGATTAAACTTAAACGAACGAACACGAATATGCCTTCCTTCGTGTTCGTTCGGTTTGTTTACAAGGCTACTCCAAAGGGCAAGATGATCACTGGTTCCTACACCTCTTGCCTGATTCTTTGGATAAGTGAATTGAGCCATTGGAAAGGTTTTCTGACATTATGAATTACCACTGAGATAAAATCAAAAACACTGGCATTATAAAGGGGCAAAAATGATGAACAATCATCTTTGGAATCGAAGCCGAACGCGACGAGCAAAACGCGCAAATGCCATGATCAAAGTCTCAACGAGTTCGATATAGATAATACTACCACCAGCTTCTAAATATAGATGTAATACATGCATTGTTGCATGTTCGAGAGGACGGATATTCCTACAGAGTTTCAATTGAAAGAGGAAAAAAGCACCTACATGCAGGTAGTACTATAGGCAGTGGAGTCTGTATAAAATGCACGCCGCATCGACCGCGTCACCAGTTTTTTAGACTGCAAGGAAAACAATATGCTGTTTAGAAACAATAAAACACTCACAAAAGGTAAAACCATATATAGTATCAACTTAAACAATTGCATCTGACCTCCATGTTCTTCGAGATTTCTTTCATTTGTTCAGCAAGTTCTTCCCTCTTCTTCGCAGCTGCACGAACCGAAGCCGACAAGTAACATCAGTACTTCTTTCGTTGGGTTTTTGTGGGATGAAAGAGAAAAATTCAAAACAGAGTGTCGAAAAAGACCATAGCAACGGAAGGAAACAAGCACATACCGATACTGGAGATATCCTCTATCTTCTTTGATGTCCTCACAGCAAATCTCTGGAATGCATGACTGAAAAATAAAAGATCCAAAAAGAAAGATAAACAATAGAGTAGTGGTCAATGCTTAACATACAAAAAACAACTAATAGAAATAAATGGAAAAGGAACTCAACTTAGATTGTTCAAAAACTATGACAGAATTTTCCACAGGCCGTAAATGATCAAAGTGCGAATCTTTATTTTGTTCATAGGAAGATTTTCTCACAAACCTCCAGAATCCAGTTCTGGGTATATTTACATTGTACATGACATATGCCTAACATTAACAAGTCTACCGAAGCAAACTAAAATAAATTTCTATAAACCCTTTTGCTTATGATTTGCAAAGTTAAACAAAATTTGGTCTCATACATTTAAATAGACTACACAAAAAGCTTGTAATATCTCGATTCTCGAATATATTTATAACAAAAATGGAAGGAGCTGGCTTTGAGGTAGAATCTTCTCAAACCTCTTAGTTCGTGCGATTTGAAAGCGTTAAGTTGTTAAGGAAAGATTATCTACTAAAACATCAAATTATTTTTCAAGTCTTCAATGCTCGTTTGGAATTATACGAACAAATAATTCAACCTCTTTGATTTTGAGAAAAATATTGTGAAAATTTTCTTATTCCTGGAAAATTCAATCGAAAGTAATGAAAAATATAAGCAATAAACAAAAATAAATCCAGAGAAAAGAATATACCTGTTTGCAAGTCTATCAACGACAAGCTCATTGACGACATAAGATATAACTCTGTGCATGAAATTCCCTCCCGCCATGTTCGGTCTTCAGAATCTGATCATAAAGAATTTAAAACGAAAACAAATAATGGATTAAAAACCCTCAAAATTAAAATAAAATCCAACTTTTTTGTTAATCATATAAAGATTAAAATAAACACGGTAGAGCTGATGGTAATAGAAAATAGTAAATATAAAATTGAACCTGCCAAAGGAAAACGATGAAGAAGATGCAGCAGGCTCCTTTGTTTCTCGAAGTTACCTGGGTTTCCCCTTCAGTTGACTATGAGTTTTCGTGTTATTTCTATTACGTTGCAAGCCGCAGGCGCAGGCAGTGCCGTACGAGTGTCCCCGTTTCCATGGATGTTGAAGCTGGGTCAGGGATCAGAGCCTCTGATTAACGGGCTTGTTACCTAAACGAAAAGAACTCAAGCTCCTTGGGCTATTCTAAATTCTTTTGGGAGAAACTAGACTATTAGTCGGCAAACTTTGGTCAGATTTTCATCTTGAACACTTAACTATAAAAAGTTCTAATTATAACACTATTTTGTTTAATTTCTTTGTCTAATCAATGGACTATTAAATTTTTAACGTTGTTACGTTGTGATATTATTTTTCACCTTTTTACTAAAAATGTTAATCTCTCTTATTGTCAATGCATGATAAAACTGGTATATTTTTTTCGTCATGCTCTCATTTCTTTTATCGAATTAGTTTTTAATAAAATTCACTCAAAGTTCATAAAAGAAAATTAACCAAAATTTTGACCTTTTAATGTTATTATCTACGATGAGTTGAGACTAATCGAGTTAAATTTTTGTTGACTTAATCGAGTTGACGAGTTTTATTTTATAACTCAAATTTTATTTAAATTTATTTTTGAGTTAAGATGAGTTTATAAAATTTGAATCGAGTCTAGTTGTTTGAATTTTTGTTTAAATTTAATTTGTAAATATTTATAATATTAAGACACTAATAGATTCCAATTTAAACGACTTTCTATAATCATATACGATATACATACACATTTCTTTATATTTTTGTGTGTGATATACACATATCATGCAAAGTTAAGGGACTCAACTGAAACTTGAAAATCAATCTACTAATTACTAAAAAATTGAGTTATTGGAGTATTATTTCATAACTCAAATTTTATTTGAACTTTTTTTCGAGTTGAATCGAGTCGAGTTTATAAAATTATGAATCGATTAAGGTCAAGTTAACTCGAGTATTTTGTTTACCCCTACCTCAACGGATGGATGCCATGAAAGAAGGTCAAGTTGGGGTATTATAGCAAGAAACCACGAGGGTCTAATAATGGCCTCGCGTTTAATCCCAGTGGATCATGTACCAAATCCCTTCATGGCAGAAGCTCATGCACGTGAACAATATCTAAATTTTGCAGCAGATTTGGGATTTCGAAGAGTAATAACAAAGGGTGATTTATCCTTGTCAGTGGCGGATGCGAAGTTTATCTAAGTGGACATGTATTTATCTTATAATTCGAGTTTTTTTTATGAGTTGTTCATACTAAAATTTTATTTGTATTACAAACGAAATTTTTTAAAAAATAATATGTGTTTACCTTAAAATATATTTTTAAATCTACCGCTGATCCTTATTAGAGTATCATATATTTATCATAACTATTCCGTTATAAGTTTGTTATATTGACATGGTGGTTATTTGTATTACAAACGAAAATTTTGTCATGTGAGTATCGAAAAGTATTCCGAAGTATTTCTCCTGTTTTAGTTATTTGCTTAAGTTTGCTCAACTATTAGTTTTTCTCTATTTCCCCTCTTCTTCCTTCACTGTTCTTCAGTGTTCGTTCATCAGAGTGACTTTCAGACAATCCTTAGGATCAATCATCAAGAAGATGCAGACAAGCAAAGAAGATAAATCGATAATCGGAACAGTGGTGAATAATGCAACATTCCATGCAAAATTTCTGAACTGGCTAAAGAATACAACTTGCAGATACAAATGAAATAGCCCATATAACAGGTGTGTTTTGTTTTTAACCTTGTTTTGGCTACAAATGTGCAAAGAGTAATTGATTCCAAGTATCTGGAACTCCGGGCAAGCACCAATGGATGCAGTCGGCATGTTTCTTTGGATCTGCTCTTTCCTCGGGTGTCAGAAGCTTTCCCCCGGTCTCCGTGTATATGGATGAATGCGCATCCACTCTGTACATTGAAAGCTGCGTTACATTAAGAACCGAAACTGGAACTTTCATTTTCTTCATCACTTCATCCACTGCGCTCATCATTTCCTTGTTTGCGGCGAAGTTTCCCCAGAAGTTCTTCTTCTTCAGTGGCTCTGATTCGTTGAAGCATTTTAGCCCATCTTCCCTCCCCCACTCTTCGCTCCTACACAATAAAATTATCGTTATAAGGAAAGGCTAAATTCTGATTTTGGTCCCCTACTATGTTTACATTTAAAATTTGATTTTTTTACTTTAATTTCATATAATTTGAGAAATTGAACGATACTTTGAATGAATAGGCGACATGGTCGTGAAGAACACACGTGTCTTGTTGGGATTTATGTTTGAATCGATCCAGTTGGCCCATGTCTTCAGTCCAATTTTGTAGGCAACCGGTGTGTCCAGCTGTGCGTAACCCTCTTCACCATTGGCGAACGAACCCCATCTGCTCTTAAAACACAAAAATAATACAAAAAATTACGAGTTCGAGTTCAAATTTATGTTTAAGCACATAAATCCTACAATAAATTTTAATCAAGTCAAATTCAAATGGAGTTAAATTTCGAGCGTTGGATTTTAAACAAGTTCGGTTCGGGTTGGATACAAGGATGGGCAAAAAGGAGAACTTACAATGTTTTGACTCTAATGCCATACATCCACCAAACGTAAGTATTGAAGGCAAGGATATCAGCTCCTTCCCAGTCTTTTGAGGTATCTGAAACTGAATCTACTTTTATGATTCTCTTCTTCGCTTCCTTGATATTGATATCCGTATTGGATTGAACTAGAAATGGAGCCCAATGAAACTCAATTGTTGCATTGTATTCCTAAAAAAGTGTTAATAAGGTAGGTTAAGTCGTATACTACTAAATCAGATCAAAATTCATCGGATTCGTGTAATTTGACCATCTTTGGATAAAACCTACTTATGTTCGACCTAAATAGGGTTGGTGAAGTGTGAGCTTTACATTGAAGCAAAGTGGAAGGGGCAATGATGAAAACAATACCTTGGCTTTGAAGACATTATGGACTTTGCCTAGTGTCAGAGATTTCTTTTGGGGAGGAATAGTCCATTCCACCATACAAACGAAAGATTCCCATTGATTTCTTTGAAGGGAATCCCCTGAGAAGACTAGCCTCTTTCCTCTAAGCTTCTCAAGTGCAACTTCTGCATCAAATCTGAAGATACTATTTTTTATCCATATTATTTTTATCCATATTATTATTATTATTATTATTATTATTATTATTATTATTATTATTATTATTATTATTAATTTATATTAAATATATTAAATACATAATAAATTACAAACCAATTACAATTCAACCGGCCCAGTTACAAACCAACTGAAACCGGTCCAAAACTAACTAGAAACCCTAAATGTTTAGGTTTCCAGTTAGGGTTTCCTAACCCTAATCATCCTCAGCCGCCTCATCACAACCGTTGGATCTGGCACGATCCAACGGTCCACATGGTTCCAGAGAGAAACCCTAGGGTTTGATACCCTAGGGCCACGCGGCCGCCGCTGCTGCTGCTTCCAGAAGACTCCGCCGCTGCCACGTCCAAACCGAGGACTCCAGAAGACAGAATACCAGCCGTCCACGCCAAGGCTACGGGTGAGTCACCACTGGTAGTCCGGTGACTCACCGAAGCCCCTCTTCGGACCGGTCCGAGACGAACACCGGTGGTGGCTATAAAAGCCTTCACCCACCTGAAAAAAAAAAGAAAAAAAGAGGACAGAGACAGAGACAGAGATAGAACCGAAAAAAAAAACAGAGAAAAGAAAAAAACAAACTAATACCAACGATCTCAGTAGCAGCAAAGAACCAGAAGGAAAAAAAAAAGAAAAAGGAAGAAGAGACTTACCGAGGAAGCTCCGACTACCAGATCTCACCGGAACCTTCGAAACAACGAAGGTACTTTTGTAGATTTGCTCCGATTGGGAGCCTTTTAGGAAGAAATAACACCGGAACCGTCCTTAGGATGGTCCGATCTATATATTAGTGTAAAGAAAAAATTTTCCGGCCACCGGATGCGGTGGCCGGCGGTGATGGTCACGGCGGCAGACGGTTGCCGTCCGGTGACCGGCTTCCCTCCGGTGAGGGAAGCTAGAGAGAAGGCAGAGAGTTTTAGAACTCTCTCTGCTAGAGAGAGAAAAAAAGAAAAGAAATGAAATGGCTGGCCCTTCGGGCCAGCCGGTTTGGACCATTTATAGTCCTTCCCGAACGACGTCGTTTCGGGAAGGACTATACGCGTAATTATGAAATAGTTAAACCCCGTCCGCAGTCCTCCGGATTTGTAAAATTTACATTTTAGTCACTAAATTAAATTTATAATATTCTTAATTTGGTCTTCGAATTTTAATTTCTTTTATTTTAGTCCTTCATATTAAAATAATATATTTAGGATAAATTACAGATTTGATCCATTAATTTCCATAAATAATTTTTTTTTCCTAGTTTATATTTTTAATTTATTTCATTATAAAATTCGAATTTTAGATAATTTTATTTTAGTCACTAAATCATTAAATCAGAAAATAACATATTTGATCCCTATAATTTTGATTAATTATGAATTAGACTTTTAATTTTATTTTTACTGTAATTTAGTCATTTATTTTATATGTTTTCTTTTATTTTATTGTTTTTAAATATATTGTTTTAATAGTATTTTTATTTTTATGAATAAATATTTTTATATATTCATAAATATATATATAATAGTAATTTTTAAATATTTATCTTAATAAATCAAAGAAAAGGACAGTCTTAATACAACTGGATGTCCTATTCTGATATTTTAAAATTAAAAATTAAATAATATTATTTATCAATATCAAAGAAAAAGAGCTGTCTTAAGGCACCTAGAAGTTCTTTTTGGATATTTTTAAATAAATAAATATTTTATATATATAATTTTGAAAATAATAGAATTAAATATATTTTTGAATTTTTAAATTTTAATAATAGAGACAATTTATAATTGCAAAGTACCAATTTTGGGCGTTGTAGGGGTGCTAATCCTTCCCTAAACGTAACCGACCACGAATCCCTTTTTATTATTAAAAAGAACGAATTTTTGGTTATAAAACGCAGATCAGTTTAATTTTTTTAATTGATGTTTTCTTAAAACTCTTTTAAAAAATATTTTTTAGGTATTCGACCTACCTGACCCAAAAGGCCGATGGCGACTCTTAAATTATTTTCAAAATTATTTATTCACATCAATTTCCTCGCCCAATTTAATATTTTCGTGCCCGGACGAAAACCGGTTACGACAGCTTGGCGACTCTGCTGGGGACCTGTCAAACTTTTAAAAATTTAATTATAAATTGTCTCTATTAGTTAAAAATTAAAAATTTATATATTTAATTTTTAATTCTTTCTTTTCATTCTTTTTATTTATTTATTATTTTTATAATATTTATATGTTTTATTTTATTTGCAAATATTTTATTTCAGTATTTATTTTTCTGTCAAAGGTTTGAACATTTCTCCTCACACACAACACTTGCATTGCATTACATAAAGCTCTATAATTGAGTTGTCCCTTTTAAGTGGAAGTGAAAGCGACGTCTTCGTGAGAATTTATTCTCCGTGTCAGACCTAGCAAGTAACTTCCGGGGTTCATATGCTCTCTGTCTTCGTGAGAATTTATTCTCCGCGTCAGGCATAGAGAAATGTATCCCCTCGAATTGAACTCGATTCACTTTAGTCTGTAATGGACTAGGATTGAGGGTTAGCAACCCAAGGGGGCACTAACAAGGACAATTCGGGTACCTTTACTCCTAGATCTGAAACCCTGCATATAAAAAACCTTAGAAACTCTTCCAATCAGAAGTCATGCCGAAATTTTGTCCAAAATAGGTGTACACACAGGAGAAATGAATTATGTCTTTCCTGTTAATTTATTTTACATGTTTATTTAAATTATTTAGAAAAGCATGTTTAAATTAAATAAATGTTATTATTAAATTTTTTTTATGTAAACTAATTTATTTTCTTTTTTGTGTGTTCTTTATTTTTCTGTTTGCATTGCATCATACAGGATAAAGACATTGATCCTTGTGTTAATTGTCTCATTGGAAAGCCTTCATCTATGGATAAAAAGTGTTCAAGTCAAGTAATTCTAAACTCAGAAGTAAGACAGTGGGCTGAAGATTTACAAAGACAAGAAGGAGACAGTCTGCAGGATGATTATGTATCTGACTTGGCCAGTTATGCTTCAGTTTCACTAAAAAGAAATGATATGCAAGATTTGCGAAGCATTTGGGAAAGTTGGGATTCAAACAAAAAATTGCAGTTTTATCAGACTTACGGAGACATCCCATATTTGCTCTATGTTGAAGTGGATGATGAATTACTCAGAGCCCTAGTTCAATTCTGGAATCCAGGGTACAATTGTTTCACTTTCAATAAGGAAGACTTGGTCCCTACTATTGAAGAATATACAACTTTGTTACATCTTGAAGGTGCTTTGGAGAATCGAATATATTCCAAGTCAATTAAAACTCAACCCTTTCGAGTTAAATTAGCAAAGATTGCCGGGGTACGAGAAGAATGGGTAGCATCCCGTACAAAACAAAAAGGCGAAAGCGAAGGCATTGCTTGGACCAACATCAAAGAACTTATTCAGAGTCATCCAGATATTAAAGTACGATTCGATCTATTTGCTCTGGGTATATATGGTATGGTCATATTCCCAAAAGTATTGGGATATATTGAAGCTGCAGTGGTAGACTTGTTTGAACAACTACCAAAGAAGATTAATCCTGTTTCTGCCATCCTAGCAGAGACCTTCAGATCGTTAAATACTTGCAGAAGGCTAGGAGGTGGACGATTCTCAGGGTGTACCCAGTTGTTATATGTTTGGATCCGTAGTCATTTCTGGAGAACAGAAAAGGTTTCATACCGACGCTTTAATACGGATTATTCACCATTAAAAGAATTTCTAGAGCAGGAATGGCCGAAAGAGATTACGAAAGATATGTGGATTAATGCCTTTCGAAATCTGCAAAGCAATGACGTTATTTGGCGAGCCCCATGGCAAATACAAAGGGAATTCATTTACGAATGTGGTGATTACAACTGGATAATGCTGCTCGGATTATGGGGAGGAATTGGATATGCACCACTTCTGGTTATAAGACAGTATGAAGGTCGTCAATTTGTACCTGTCACTGCTGGATTACAGTCATCTGAGTTCGCATTCCACAGCAAAAATTATAAAAGAAATATCATGGAAGCCGTTACAGCTTGGAAAACAATTTTTTGTATTCGAGCTAAAGCAGCAAAAGAAATGTTAACTCCTGATTATGAAGATTGGAGATCTGTCAGAAAAAACGAAAATATTCCTCTACCAGATCAAATGAGGATATCTCTATGGAAGATCGCATTAAGGTGGTTCCATCAGAGATTGAAATCTTGAGAGCTGAGTTTAAAGCAGAAAGAGATGGCTGGTCGAAAGAGTTAGAGCAAATGAGACAAGATAAAGCCATGTTAGGGGTTGACATTGACTTTCATTCATCACAATGTGCAATGTTGAGAAGAGATAAAGAAAAAGGTGAGGATGAGTACACAGCCTTACAGAAAGATTACCAGGAGTTATACAAATCCCGAAAAGTATCAGGACCCAGCCAATCAATGGTACAGATGACCAGAGAATTGAACATTGAGAAAAGACGAGTTGAAGATCTAAAAGGGAAGAATAGCCGTCTACTCAAAAGCCTGGAAAAAGGAAAGCAAAAAATGGAAGATTTCGAGGTTGACAGAAGAGAGCGAATTATAAAGCACAAGGCTGAACACCGTGAAATCATGAATGAAATACAAAGAGAAAGAGATCGAGCCAAAGATTTAGAAGAGATAAAGAATGACATCTTTGTTAAAATTGAAAGCAAGAAAAGTATCATGTTCAAGGGATTTGAATCTGAAATGAACCAGTTGATTGCTGAGCTTGAAGTCAGAGGCCAAAAGATGGAAGAATCCAATGTTGAAAAAGAAAAATGGGAGATAGAAAGAAAAAATTTCAACACCAGACTTGAGGTAGAGCAGGAGGTGGCTAGCAATTGGATGCAAAGATGCAGAAATAAAGATATTCAAATCCAGAAGCTTAATCAAAGAACGCAAGAAGCACGAACAAAACTGGAAGAGGATCTGGATCAGTCTAGAAACAA